GAGCGTTAGCGTGATTGCGTGCGCGCGCGCGCGGTATATACTATATTCCTTGTCGTGTTGGTGTGTGTGTGTGTGTGGGGTGTGTGTGTGCGTGTGTGTGAGTGTGTGTGCGGTGTGTGTGTGTGTCTGTGTGTGTAGTGTGAGTGCGTGTGGGTGAGGTTTGTGGGTGGCGTTGTGTGTGTTATGGTGTGCGTGCGTGCGTGCATTTGCGTTGCGTGCGTGCATGCGTGCGTGCGTTGTTGTGGTGTGTGTGTGTGGCGTGGTGTGTGTTGCGTGTGTGTGTGGTGTGTGTGTGTGTGACGTGCTTGCGTGCGTGGCGTGCGTTGTGGATGGGTGTGGTGTGTGTGTGCGTGTTGTGTGTGTGCGGCGTGCGTGCTGCGTTGGCCTGTGTGTGTGTCGGGTGTGCGTGTGGGCGATGTGTGTGTGTTGTGTGTGTTGCGTGTGTAAGGTGTGTGGTGTGGTGTGATTGTGTGTGTGGGGGGGCGTGCGCCAAGGGGGGGGCTTGGGGCGCGAGGGGCACTGTGCGTGCGTGGCGCGATTGGTGCGGCCTGATGCGTGCGTGAGTGCGTGCGTGCGTGCCGTCGCGCGCGTGCGTGCGTGCGTGCGTGCGTGCGGGCGTGCGTGTGACGGGCGGAGGGAGGGCGGGCGGGCGGGCGGGTGTGGGCGGGCGGGCGGGGCGGGCGAATGGGCGGGCGCGCGGGCGTGTGGCCGCTGTGCGTGCGGGGCGTGCGGGCGTGCGTGCGTGTGTTCATGCGTGCCTGCGGGCGGGCGTGCGGGCGGGCGCGCGGGCGGGCACGGGTGCGTGCCTGCGTGCCTGCGTGCCTGCGTGCGTGCGTGCGCGCGTGCGCGCGTGCGTGCGTGCGTGCGTGCGTGCGTGTGTGCGGGCGGGCGGGCGGGCGGGCGGGCGGGCGGGCGGACGTGTGTGCGTGCGTGCGGGCGTGCGGGCGTGCGGGTGTGCGCGCGCGCGTGTGTGTGTGTGTGTGTGTGTGTGTGTGTGTGTGTGTGTGTGTGAGTGAGTGAGTGTGCGTGTGCGTGTGTGTGTAAGTGTGAGTGTGTGTGTGTGTGTGTGTGTGTGTGTAAGTGTCTAAGTGTCTAAGTGTGTAAGTGTGTAAGTGTGTAAGCGTGTAAGTGTGTGGAAGTGTGTGGAAGTGTGTGGAAGTGTGTGGACATGCGGAAGTGTGTGTAAGCGTGTATGTTTGTAAGTGTGTGTAAGTGTGTAAGTGTGTAAGTGTGTAAGTATTCAAGTGGGTGTCTGTGTGTAAGTGTGTGTGTGTGTGTGTGTTTGGGGGTGGGGGTGCAGCTCCGCCGTCCTGCCGCCCCGGCCCGCTTCCGTCGCCCGCCGCTTTGGCCCCCGCCGGCCCGGCGCCGTTGCCTCGCCTGCCGCACAGTCCCAGCCGGCACCAGCTGCTGCCCTGCCACCGCCCCGTGAGGGGCCGGCTGCTCGGCGCGCGCGGCCCTAGCGCGTGCGTCCAACGCCGCGAAGAGTTTCTTGGCCCTGACGACCAGAAAGTGTGGGTGCGCAGGTCGTCGTCGTTCCCCAAGATTTTCGATCGGACAGCCGAGTCCGCAGTTTAGCCACAGGCGATGCTGGACCGCCTGCATGCCAGTGCTCAGCATCGTCGAACCGATCCCCATCCCCACTGGGCGATGGTATCTCAGTCCCACCATTCCACCTCCCCAGGTAGGACGAGGCCCCACGAATCCCGAAGGGAACAGCATATGTCCCCACCTAGGGGGTGTAAGTCGGCCAGTGAGGCCAAGGCCGTGCCAGTGGGGATGGGGGCCGGTTAAACTGCATGCTCAAGCCACGGTCCCCCCCAGGCCTCCGACTTCTCGAGAGAATCGGTGCGGAAGTTATTCTCCGTTTCCAGCCCCCTGGGGCCCGCGCGGGTCCCTGGGTCCGTCGGCAGAGGGCCGGTCTTGGGAGTCAGGCCCAGACCAGAGCCCTAGGGGACCCCGTATTGAAAAGCTCAAGGCTTCGGACGTCTGGGTCCTCGTCCTCCTCGCCCTCGGACGTCTCTCGTTCCCGCGCCTCGTCCGCCTCTCCCTTGGCGACCGAAGCTCGTAACAGTAGATTGGGCTTTGAGTCTGCATTGTAAGGGTTCGGCGCGCAGACCACGCTAGAGGCATTACTCATCACAGTTCCTTGAAGTGCTGGCACGTGGATCACTTCAGAAATCCAGGATTCGACTTCGGGCGGACGTTGGGCAAGAAAGTGAATTGTTCCCCGCCGCCGCTCCTGCGCCCTCAGGTGGTTTGCTCAAGAGTCACATCTTGCTAAGGAGGGGGCAGCTTTCGGCATTGGGCCCTGGGAAGCTTCCAGAGCGGAGGCGGGACTTCAACATGCCACGTTCTGGGGCAGCTCTGGGCCTCCTCCTTCTCCTGCTGCCTCCTCCCCCTGCTCCCGCGCCCGCGGCAGGAGGTGGCGCCGGTGGCCACCCCGAGGGGCTCGCCCACGACGTGCATGGTCTGCATGGAGGACTTCGGGCGCTCCGACTGGGCGGGGGCGCGGGTCGGGGGCCATTGGGCTCCGCGGTGCTCGCGGGTCGTCTCGTCGTCGCCTCGTCGTGTCCTTCTCGTCCCTCTCTCTCTTGGGGCTTTTTCTGGTGGGCTTCCTCGGCTCTGCGGTGCTCGTGGGTCGTCTCGTCGTCGCCTCGTCGTGTCCTCCTCGTCTCTCCTTCCTCTGCGTCTGCCGTCCGCCCCCCCAGGCGCCACTGCTCAGTCGGATTCATGAACTCTTCATTTTAGTGTGTTCCTCCTTGGGCTTCACAGTGCCTTTGGTTCGTTGACGGTGGGTGTTTTGGGATTTCAGATTTCAGTCTGCATCAGCCGCCCTCTTCTTTCAAGAGTCGAATGGTTTTCCATCTGACGGAGACCCAATCTACTTTCAACGCGTTCCTGCTTCATGTTTCTACCCACTTATTCCGAACGATGGGTAGGGGCTTCTTGAGGCCTGCCAGGCTGTCCAGATTGGCCTAGAGCAAATGGGGTCGAAGAGTGGCTCCTGGGCGCCGATTCGCCGACGATGAGGCGCTATCTGGAGCCCGATGTTATACATCCTTGCGTCGCAGATGCATCGCCGATACATCGCCGATGCGGCGCGATCTTCCGACCCCGTTTTCCTGGTCCCCATTCGGGCGGCCTTCCACTTTTGGAGCCCGCGGCCGTCCCCGCTTCGATCAATCTGGCGATGCGCGTCGCCGACAGAAGACCTCGGGCACTGCGATTGGGCGGGGCCCCAGGGGAGCCTTCTTGGCTGACGCTTGGGCAGAGTACTCTCTCTGGGGACCCGCTTGGAGTCCCTGCTTCTGATTCGATCGGTTTTTGCGATGCGCGTCGGCGGTTTTTGCGCGCGCGGTGCGTTTTTCTCGTGCGCGCTTCGATTCACAGTCATTCATCCTGCCATGTCTGTTTTTCTGTTCATATAACAGTTCTGTATGTGCGGGATTGCATTATCCTCGGTGTAAAATGCCCAGCTTTTTGGGTAACAACTGACGAGCCCGTCTCACCTCCCATAGCTGGTGAATAGACCCTTCGGGGCTCGAAAGCATGTTTTGAATCGCACGCGCAGGGATAACCGTGGTCGTCATCGTTGTTCACGGCGGTTTACAGCGGGCTCGCGCAGCATCCCCCCCCCCCATAGGGCATCTGCAGCACGTCGTGGTCGTTGTCGTCGTCGGACGTCGTCGTCGTCGTCGGTTCTCGCAGCCACATCGCACAGTGCGGGCGCCCACGAGGTGGACGCTAGCTCCTCCCCCCTGCACTGCTGGCTTGCATCACATCGAACGTATTGTTGTGTCCCACGCAGAACTCGCATTAGGGATCGCATGCTTTTGCTGCGATTGTTTTCAGCGCCCTCGCGGGCCACTGCGGCGCCAGCAGGCATGTTGTGGTGGGGGGGAAGGTGGGGGAGGACAAGAGGAAAGGGGAGCCTCTGCCGCTTGCCCCTGCCGTCCCTCTCCCTTTCGCCAGTTGTGAGGAGCCCCTCCCGCCTTCTCCTTTTCTCCTGGCTGTGGCACTTAGGCGCACTCGCCCCGCTGTTCCGGAGAAGCCGCTGCCCCCTCGTTGAAGCGGCGCCGCTCGCGTCGCGCTCGTCGCCCTCCAACTGGCGGCTGGGCGTCGGCTCTAATCATTGGCGCCGTCGTGATGCGTCTGCCTGGCCCGCGCCCCACGGCGATTCGCCCGAACAGAGTACGTCGATGTTCCAATCACGCGCCTGGCACGCTCTTAATCACAGCCTGACATTAAGTGGAGGCTGACGGCCTGGCATTTCTGGGGGAGACCCGTCGCGACACGCTTTCGATCTTCATGCGTACCTTTGACCTGGTGATCGCTAGTGATAGCGCCCTCACGCGCGCAATGGTTCCTGAATTGAGTGGCCCTTGCGGCAGTGATCCCAATGTGCCATCTCAGACGGTCTTGTTGGACTCGTGTTCCTTGATCGTTGTCGCTTGGTTGGCCTCACTCATCGCGATCCGTTTGTCAGCGTTGCTGCCATTTCTCGTGGTGCGACAGTCCTCTGTGCGTAACAGATTCGTGTTTATCGTGAGGTTGTTCCTGCGGTTCCTCTTTGTCCTGCTCTTCCGTCCCCTCCTCCGCTTCCTCCTCCTCGTCGTCACCAGCATCATCGTCACCATCGTCATCATCATCATCATCATCATCATCATCATCATCATCATCATCATCATCATCATCAGCATCAGCATCAGCATCAGCATCAGCATCAGCATCATCATCATCATCATCATCATCATCATCATCATCATCATCATCATCATCATCATCATCATCATCATCATCATCCGTAGCCATTTTGGCTCAAACCAATTTGGCTCAAGATAGCGCGATCTGGGCCGATGTCTGGTCCCATGTGTCTGGCTCTAGCCGTCGCGTTTCCTCTTGGGTCAGATTCCAAATCGATTCAGTTTTCAGCGAGTCCTTCGCGGCCACAAGTTCTTCATATCCATAACCTTTCCGACACCGGGCCCTGGACGCCCGATTGGGAGCCCAGCCGCGGCGGGCTCGACCAATGGCAGGACGTGGTGGTGGTGATCGAGGTGCCGCGCGCGGGGGCGGCGGCAAAGGTGGCAGCAGAGGAGGACGGCCAGGCGGTGTTCAGCCAGGCGCGGGAGGTGCAGGCGGCGGCGCCCCCAAGGCCTGGGACCCCCCCAAGTGCGGAGCCAAGAAGAACTGGGGCTCTCGGCACGTCTGTCGCAGCTGCGGGTATGATTGGTGGGAGCAAGGATCCGGTGCAAGCTCGGGCAGGGTGGCATGTCGCACCTGGACGCTCAGGAACGCCGCGAGCTCAACCAGCTGCGCAGGAAGGCCAAGAAACTGGAACGAAGCATGTAGTCGCCAGGCTCAGGCGGCGATGCAGGCTCGGCTCCAGCAGCTGGAGGGCAGCAGCAAACACCAACGGACGATCGATCTCGGCGCCCGGGGAAGCTGCGGAACGAAATCAAAAAGCTCGAAGGCGTGGAGGGCACGGAACATATCCTAGAGGCCAAGCGGCACGAGGCACAGTAGTTGGATCACGAGCATTCAGAGGCGAAGCCCACGTCCGCATAGCTCGGTGAGTTGGAGCGCAAGCAGAAGAACCAGCAGAGCACCGCGGAGGTGCTGGAAAGGACGATCGCGGCCGCCACGCGGGAGATCTCGGACCTCCAGGCCCAGAAGCTCGAGCTGGAGGGTAATTGCGGGCAGAGCAAGGCCACGGAGAAGGAGCTACAGGCCCTCATCGACAACCTCTTGGCGAGGCAGCTTCGTGAACGAGAAGGATCTCCGCGCGAAGGTCGCTCGGGCCCCAGCCTCCTCAGGGGCCGCATGAACAATGCTCAGCGAGGGCGAACGTGCGACCGTTTCCTTGGCTGCGCTCGACCAGGCCTCGGGCATGCTCAACCCATGGGGGAGGTGGTCGCTGAGGGCGGCGGCAGCGAGGCCGCGGGGGGCGACGACGGCGGCGCCGCTCGCGCCGCCGACCCCGCAGCCCAGGCCGCCGCCAAGCGCAAGCTGCGTGCCCAGACGCTCCTCCAAGGACTACACTCTGCGGAACTCAGGAGAAGGGGGGGGGGGGGGAGGCGCGGGAAGCAAGCCGACGCTCACGGCGGCGAGCCTCAACGGCAGTGGCTGGGGCCCCTTCGCCACCATTCTCGGCGAGCAGCAAGACCCCTGGCAGTTCGCGGTCAACGTGGGGGGCGCGATCTGTTACCAGGAGCACCACCTCAACGGCCGCCGCGCGGTGGGGCAGGAGCAGTGGCGCAGGCAGGTCGGATGGGGCGCCGCGCTGGCCCCAGGCGTCAGCACGGTGGGGGCATCTCAGCAGCGCGCTGTCAGCGGCGGCTCGGGGGCCGCAGCGCGCGCGACCCGCGGCGCGCGCTGCCCTCGCGAGCACGGCAGCAAGCCCAGCTGCCACGTCTCCGACGGCAGGGCGACAGTGACCCACGTCAACGGGGTGGCTGCTGGGCTCGGTCTACTTAGACAACGACGACGTCGGCGAGACCAGCGGGCCCGTGCTGCAGGAGGTCGGGCCCCTCCTCAAGCTTGCGGGGGAGCCGCGGGCTCTCGCGGGGGACTGGAACGTCGAGCCCGACAGGTTTCACTCGCGCGCGGGCAACTGGCTCTGCAAGGTCGGTGGCCACGTCGTCGACGCGGGGGCGGGCGCCTGCCGGCGTTCCATTTCCAAGGGGCCGCCAGAGCTGGACTGGTCATCGTCAGCGCGGAGATGCTCGACAGGCTCGAGGGGGTCACGGCCTGCGTCCGCCTGGACATGGCGGCCCCGGGGTGCGCGAACCCGCTCAGGCCCCGCGTGGCGGAAGAGCGCGGCCTCACCTGCTACGGCGACCTGGGCCAGCCCTTCGGGCCCATGCTCGAGAAGCGCTGGGATCGCGACGCGGCGCGGGCCCAGATCGACCGGGGCGACGACCTGCAGGCCGCGGCGGCTGCCTACAAGAGGCTGTGCGAGGGCGTCGAGGACGAGCTCGCCTGGGCGCGCCAGATCGACCCCGACGAGGCCGACTTCTACCGGGGCCGCGGGGGTTCGCCGAGCTTCAGTTCTGTCTCGCAGGCGCGCGCGCGCGGCCCATCGACGGCCCCGAGGCCAGTTTCAAGGGCAAGAAGCTCGTGCACCTGAGCGGCCATTTCACCCAGGTGCGGCCCCCCGTTGGAGGGCCCGGCCTTGACGGCAGCGGGCCCGACGAGGAGGCTCAGCTCAAGCTGGGCCCTGAGCGACGAGAGGCAGAGCGCGCGCAGGCCAGGGCGCTCGAGCGCCACGAGCGAGTCCTGGGCCGACGCGCGCGCAGCTGGGCGCCCAGCCCCAGCGGCCCCAACTATTGCGAGGACGAGGCCGAGTGGATGGAGAAGTGCGTGCCCTACATCTCTCGCATGCTGGGCTTGCCGGCGCGCGTCGCCACGGGCCTGGCGCGGGGCTTCGACAGCCGCATGCGCGCGGCGCGCGAAGTTTGTTCCTCGGCCTGGCGACGCGGGGCTCCTGCTGGAAGGGCC